TAGGGAAACCAGAAAATGAGGAAGAAATGGAGACAATGGATGGGTCTTAGGACTGGCCGTTAATCTTTTCGTAGAAAGTTGTGTTCAAAAGCGTTCCAATACCGTTACCAATGTTGGAAGACACATGAATTTTTGAACTTGCAGGTTTGAGAGCAAGTTTATCATGTTCTATGTGATTCATTCCTTTCGTTTTTACGTGTACATGCGCTAATGAAGGAGGGAGGTTTCGGTATTGAGCACGTATTTTGTTCTGCATTCGGCTTCTACCTTATTCTTAATGCATTTGGTCTGTTCAAATGAGACCCGCACCATTCTCGAACAAGAAAGCTTGAGGCTTTGCAAGCAAAGGTGAAAAGTCAAAACCAATTTCAAGTTTGAACCATTTTCAACTCACACAACCCTGAACCAAGAACCCGCCAAATGAAGACGACATGACGTACGATATTTGATTAAGCACTGGTCCATTAAAAATGAGACACGTGGAAGGTAGCCAAGCTGTTTAATTCTTCATCCACTCAAATTTTTCTTAGCTTTCCCATTTCTATGACATGATAGTAATAACTGATGGGCATGAGGACAGGCACCATATATTACTATATTTGATTTGCAAATAATAATTTCCCGTTGAACTGAAAACTGATGTGGTCTAGAACAATTGTGTCGGGCTTATAATTGTACCCTCTTTTGAAAAATGAAATTTGAAGACTGAAAATGATAGATCCACATCCACAACACACCTAAATAATTGTGCTCGGGACATCCACACCAGAAGAATCATGTGTTGTGTTGTCGATCTCTTTTTGTTTGTCTTAAGTTGTGTTGTCATCTTAAAAAGTAAAACATTTGCAGACAAAATCTTAAAGGATAAAAACCCCAACGATTCTTAAACTATGTTTTCATCATAAGCCGACTGGATATGAAAATTAAGCGATGAATCATGTAAAATTTTAGAATTCATGTTCGTAAAAGAATTGTTATCATTGATTTTTTTTCTTTTTGAAGGATGCTAATTGTCACATGATATACTCATTGATAAAATAATTTAGTTAAAAAGAGTAATGGTGGAGCTTTTGTCGCTAAAGGGCATGGTAGAACAATTTTCATACATGAGAACAACTTTGATGATCATGTCGTCTGATTATATTAGGAGTTTTACTTACGTGAAGCCAAATGGTACCAAAAAGCAAGAAGTTATACTTTCTTATGAGGAGAAAAACTTTCATGTAACGGGAATAACACTTTTTGCTATTTCCGATCAATAACACTTTTTGCTATTTCCGATCAATAACACAATGACACGTGAGATAACTTTTTCACGTGTCATTGTGTTATTGGTTGGAGATAGCAAAACAGTGTTATCCCCGTTATAAATAAGTTTTTCTGCCTTGTGAGAGTGGCCGGACAGTCCACTCAGACATCGTGACCTAAGATATTTTTTTAGGTGAAAATGACCCAAGATATTCTCTTCCATACACATATAAGCTATAAACACTTGCTAATGTCACCTTTAGTTAATCATAAATAATAATAAAACTGTTATATATTACACCCTAAAACAAATTGTCCTACACTCCTCCCCTATAAAAATATAAGGACTGCACCTTCCGCTTCTTCCACTTCAATTTCATAGAGTAAATGAGTGCAAGATGAACTTACCGTTGGAATAATTATTGGTAACCAAAAAAAAATGCTCCTGGAGAAAAGACTGAATGTGCTCTCCCATGGAAGTTTGGTTAAAGACCTAAAGCAGAAAAGATATGTTAAATCAATACCAGCAACCAAAACAATTGTGTCAAATCAAATATCACTTCCACCAAGAAAAATAACCTAATCCCTCACTCACTGTCTCCTTTTTCCCTCTCTCACTCTTCTCTCTTCTCTTTCTTCTCTGTCTGTGTAGTTCAGAAACTGAAACCAAAGAAAGTGAAGAAGATGGTGGAATGGTCATGTGCGTGGGAATGGGCATTCTGACCTGACCACACCTCAGAAGCATAGACCACTTGAGCTTTTGATTTTTCAATGTATTTTGAAGCCACCGGCCCACCCTTCTCATTTTCTTTGTCAAAATGTCTCACCTAATCCAGAAATATTAAACCCTACTGTTTCCTTCAAAATATTATTACAAAAAGAAAAAAAATAAATATATTTTTGAAATTGAAATGTCAGGGGTCCTCTCCTCTCCTCGTGAAGCGATGGTTTCAGCATAATGTACGGCTTTGCCCCATATAAATTTGTGCTGATTTTTGTGGCAAAGACTAACCAGACCACAAAACGACACCATTTTTATTTGGGTTTGCATGTTGGGTTGCACCAAAATCACCAAACCCAACATCATGTGATCAAATCTCTCTTGTTCTTGCCCCCATCAAACATTAGACTCTGAATCTAGATCATTAATTTTCTGATATTAAATTTAAAGTTAGAACTTGAAAATATAATTATTTGTCCGAGAAGAGAATGTTTTTCTAAGTAGAATAAGATCATATTTTAGTGTTAGTGTTAATCCGAGATTTGTGAGTTCAAATGTCCACCAACCACTGCAAAGTCAAACAGTGCATGCATGCAGCCATGGGATAATCAGATAATACGACATATATCTGAGAGTTTCCATAAAAACCAAAAACAAAAACAAAAGTCAAACAAGCAAGCTGTGGCAAAATTTATCTTTTATTGTTTAGAAAGAATTTAAAGTTGGAAAATTAGGTTAGAGAAAGAGAGAGCCATTATTGGTGGATGGATTGGGAAAATTATTGTTTCCCAGAGAAATTAATCTTCGAATACTTGCCTCTTATTAGATACCAAATGGTAAATTGGCAGAGGCCCAGAGAGCATGCACACACACATGTGAAGGAAGCAGTAGCAGCTGTGGATCTGCAGGCAGGCTCTGCCTCTGCCATTAACAAATTGGAGTTGACCCACATTTGACCAAGACCAAGAGATGGATGGATGGAACCATCTATCTAACTTCCAAGGGAGTAATTAATGTGTTTATCCAAGACCTGAGGATGAAGACAAGCTGATTTGGTAACAAAATTAATAAAGCAGCCAACAAGGTACGCAGGAAAAGCAATTTTTCCATAGACAGAAGTTAATGCTGTCGTATCCATATCCCCCTCGATAGCGAGAGAGATCATACGTATAGTCTTTCACCTTTTATTTTGTAGACAGAATTCAAAAGGTAATTTGGCTACTGTGTAATGTGTATGCTACTAGCATCCAACATCCGGGATAAGCTCAGTCACTTATGCACGAGTGAGTTAAGTTCGGTCGCTTATGCACGTGTGAGTTAAGTTCGGTCGCTTATGCAAGCGTGAACGAGGGCAATTTCTAATCTTTCATCTTACTATAGGATCGTCCCACTAATTAAATTGGTGGCGTACATGTCACCATCTTTCTTAACATAAAAAATACATTCGTAATATATATATATATATATATATAATAAGAATGGAAACCCATGTTTGATTCACATGCGCATAAATTGTTGTTGTGAATTGAAAAATAATAGTTGCAATATATTTGGTGCTGTACATGAAACCCATAATGACGATAGATAGATGCATGCTATGCTATGCTATATATGCTACCAACAAATCAATAGTTCATCACTGGTATCAGACAATCTCAGCACTATTCAGATTTCAGAGAGTGCAATCTCTTTCATTACACATCAGCCCATAGTAAGAAACATTAAGGATCAAAGCCCATGTACTTAAATAGCACATAATTGTTAACAGACAGAGTCTACAGACACACAAAAACAAAACCAAACACTCAAAAAAAAACCCAGCTGTATTTCCCCCATGAACTGAAGCATCGCTTTCTCCCTTACATACAAGCTTAGAGGCCAGAGAGATAAGAAAAAAGAAGAAGAAGAAGAAGAAGAAGCTTGGTCTTTAATTTCACGCCCTCCAGTTCCATTCTGTCCCATAATAATTAAACTCTTTGCATTGATGCAAAGTTCAATTAAAAAACAAAAATATATATAAATCTACCATGCATCATCAAAAACGAGAGAGAGAGAGAGAGAGAGAGAGAGAGAGAGATCTCTTGAGAGCCACACCTAAAATGTTACATTTCCAACACCTTCTCACTTGTCGCCCCATGCCATGTTTAACAAGAATATAATGATAACAAATAGTGGGAAATAATTGACAATAATAATAATATAATTAGTGACAGATTTTTGGATTGAGAAGCTAAAGATCAGATCAGGTGCAGTGTTTAAATATTTGACTGTACTACTTACTTAAGTGTAATTAATAAATCAAGTAGTTTTAGTTTCTAATTATAATTAAAATTTTAAGGCATGAAGAGTTTGTTGCCACACTTGCAGCGCCAAGCTTCAGGATAGTACTCGAGAGGTATAGAGACACCTGGTTGAATGGGCACGTGGACAGCCTTACAAGGCGAGCACCTTCCACACTTGGATCTGCAACTCGGTGGCGATGAACCCAGCCGACTCTTCTGAGTCTCAACTCGCTCCAATGCCGACGACCCAATTTGATATTCCTCTATCTGCTTCTGCTGCTGATGAGAATGATGCCCACCACCTGAAAATTCATTGAAGTTTGAACTCAACAACTGAGTCACTGCTCAACGAGTCAAGGAAACTCAAAAAGGGGGGTTGCTTCTGAGTTGCTTACCGAGTTGGGTTTGACTGGTTATGGCTGAGGAGGCTGAGGTGAACAAGAGGAAAGTGAAGGCTGTGATGAGAGTTGATAGCCTGATGTAATGGTGGTGGTGGCGGCGGTGGCGGTGGCGGTGGCGCAGTACGCCCATCGCCTGAGGTTGAGGTGCGCAGGTTAGCAACTGGGCTCAGCTGTGAAAGTTCGATATTGAGAGAGAGAGAGAGAGAGAGAGAGGATATATATGAATATGAATGATATGATGATGTAAAAGGAGAGTGAAGAGGAAGATTGGGAAATGAGGGAGGGGGGTGATGCTTTTATTATTGTTATTGCAGTTTTTACTTGTGAGCGTGTGGGGAGGGTGGTCTAAGTCAAAAACACAGTCCCCAAAAGATCAAACCAGAGAGAGAGAGATTTCTTAGCTTTGTTGTATTGTTTGGCTAAGGGGTGGAGTCCTGGGACCCTGTAAGGCCCTGAATGATTGTGATGTGGAGTTGAAACAGAGACCAACTTGGAAGCCATATTCACTACAATGCCACTGAGATAGTGAAATGGTTGGGAACATATTTCAGACCAACAATGAACGAGATCTAGGTATGAGAAATTTTTGTACGTGACAGTGAGTTCACTTGACCTATTAAGATGGTGATTTATATGAATTTACATTAACAAAGTGTTATGAATCTACTCATATTATTACAATGATCAGGTAATAATAACAATAGATTAGCATGCTATATGTTGTGTATATGACTAGGAAGCGAACTCCACATGAATTATTGTCTGAAAAATATTTACACACATAAGCGACTGAGCGTAACAAAATTTCAAATGCAAGCATGCAACAGGAGGAGGGAAGAAAAATAAAGGAAGAGTGGCTTAAATGTAATAATTCGAAAAGAAGGTGGGTTTTGAGGTAAAATGGATGAGAGCAGAGCACCCGTGTGGGGGAGGATGGGATGCTGTCTCGTACGGGACGAACACGGAACATCTGAGTCAAGGCTGAACCCACCCTCACCCTAATGCCCTCCCTATGCCACCATTATTGCCTCTCTCTCTCTCTCGTCGAACATGGTAGGCCTATTGAATTCTGAGAGGGGCCCATTTGTACAGGGGACAGGGCCCACATGGACACATTTTTGTTGTTTTATAACTTTTTATTATGCATGCCACTTTCTTTCTCCCCTTTTATTTATTTATTTTGTTGTTGGTGAAATGAGAGAATGAGAAATTAATAGAGGAAGGAGCAGTTGTATTAAATGAACCCCCATGATCTTTCTGTAAGTGCGGGCCTGCCTGCCATAGCCTATCCTTAGCCAGGTAGCTCTCGGGTTCTCTCTCAGGGTCTGAGCAGCTGAGAGAGGAGGAGGAGGAAGAGTGTAACCGTGTAAAGGGTCGGTGAATCTGGCTCAGTGATTTGATGGGTTTTGGGTTTGGTTGCATTTAAGGCAACAACAAAAAGAAAAATAGCCGCATTGGGATAAGAGGACTAGAATGATTTGCTGCTTTCTAGAGGCCATGGTTTTAGTCGGACAAGGCAATCCACCAAGGTTTTGTGAAAACTAATCAATTTGCAAGTTGTTGAGAATTTAAAGGAAACAAAAATTATTAAAGAATTGAGAAGAGACTTGTAGTTTAACTAATAAAAAGTATTTACTTATGCGCTCGAGATCTAGGTTCAATTCTCCTCTCCCGACATAGCTTGTATTTTTGCCAGAAATTAAGTTTTGCAGCTTAATGTGTGTAGACAGTGGAAAACAGAGGGGAAAACTACTAGGCCTAGCCTCTGTTGGGCCCTTAGTGGTTCTTGGTTTGGTGAGGCCTAGTGTTCAAACAGTAACAGGACTAACATGAGGGTTTTTCCCATGGCAGGAAGCAACCATTACTAGCTTTTGGCATGCTTGATTTACACATCATCTGTGACTGTACAAGTTGGAAAGGGACACTTCACTGCATTATGATATTTCAAAATCAAAAAAATCCACACACACACAAAAACAAAAACGAAACGCCATTGATGATTGCTTGCACTTCTGTTTCTGCAACAACTGTTTGAATTGTTACCTTGTGGTTTATAGTTTTAGTTTGGAGCATTTGAAGTTTTAACTATTTGTAGTACTCATTCTTAACCAAAAATTACAACCTGAAAAATTAAGTCTAGATTCTGCATATAGCTTCAAGCCTTCCCAGTCAAATGACTGAGGCCAGGATCTTCTTCAGTTTGGTTCTGCAAGCAATAGATATTATGGCTTTAACAAAGCGATGATTACAAGCTCCAGTTTAAGAAAGGGGCACCTAGAGTAGAGCAGGAGAAAGACTTAAACGGGGATAACACTGTTTTGTTATATTCGGTCAATAACGTTATGACACGCTTGATAACACTTGCACGTATTATAGTATTATTGATCGAAAATAACAAAACAATATTATTCCCATTGCAACTTAATTTTTCTCCTAGAGCTGAGATTTGAAGACTCAATTAATTAAGCCATGCTATAGTGCTGTCCAATTATTGATGGAATTATATTGTGTGTGTACCTAAAAATTTAATGTTCAACAGACAAACCCTTTTCTTCTAGAATGACCTTCCAATACTTTGCTAGTGACGAAATTCGATGACAATGGTAAATTAGATCTCTAAATTCAACACCTAACATGTTCGGATTAGACAGGTTTCCTATGAAAATCCAGTCTTATCAAATAGTTGAACTCACAATACTTTAGTCGTGTAGCAATATCAAATCAAGATTATGAAAAAGAGATATTAATTCAACAATTAAAAGAAAAAAAATTAATTTATCGAGATTGTTCTTTTTTTCGAACGAAACGAACAAAAATAAACTCAATTTTTGATTACTTGCACACACAAACTCATGTGTAATTACTAGTAAAAATTTATTTATTTCGGGATAATAAAGAATGCCTCATAATTCAGACACATGATTTTAAAGTAAACTCTAGCATATAAACCACCTATCATGTAAATTTAAATATTTTCATATGGGTAAAGAATTCAAATGTAGAGCACAATGGGTTGAAAATAGGGGTGGTTGCGGTTCGGTAACGGCGAATTTTTACTCAAACCGCAAACCGACTGACTATTTGCGGTTTGGTGATTTTTGAAACCGCAAACCGACCGCGTTTTGCGGTTTAAAACCGCGAGTTCTCAAGCATTCACAAAAATATAAATTCACAACATAAATAAATAAATACACAACCTCAATTTCTCAAACATATATAAATTTACAATCTCATCAACTTCTCAAGCATTCACAACCTAAGAAAATTAAACTTACAATTTCAAGTATTCCAATTAAAGTTAAACTTCTCAAGCATTCCAATTCCAAATCATTTAAAGTTATAAACCAAAAGGAAAATGCAAAGAAAAATGAATTAAAGTTACAACAAAAAAGAAAAATTCAATTCAAAGTTAATTAAAGTTACAAACTAAAAGGAAAATGCAATGCACCAATGTTACAAACTAAAGTTATAAACTCAAGTGTTAAGCATAAATAACATTAGTATAAATAAACTAATTACTTACAAGTTGTCATATGTTCCATTTCCTTGTAAAATTCAACTTCATCATCCGTGTGGCTATACTTTGCGGTTTGCGGTAACCGCAAGTTTTGAAAATCAAATACCGCAACCGCAAATGCGGTTCGGTTCTTAATACCGCAAATGCGGTTCGGTTTACCGCGATTGCGGTTTCATTGCGGTAAATTATCGGTTGCTTTTTGCGGTTTTTCGGTTTTTCGGTTTAAAATGCCACCCCTAGTTGAAAACACCTTTTTGGTCTATTTGCCAAAAGGTCCTTGAATAAACATAATATTATTTAATAAAACACCAGACCTAGTAAACCCCGCCAAAATGTTCCCTTGATCCCTTCCACAGTGGCGGTGTGGCATTAACCCAAAGCCCCTGACTCCCAAACCACTAATTAATCAGTAATTAAAAATAAAAACCCTAAGGTTTAGTCCAGAATCATTCAGACAAGAATTACGTGGCAGTCTAGGGTGAAACGCAGCTACCGAAAAGCCCCTTCCCCACCAAAACCCCCATACGACTTACGAGTGACTCTTTAGTCTTATGAGACGACGCCGCGCCTATTCTCTCTCTCTCTCTCTCTCTCTCTCTCTCTCACTTCTTTGCTTGCAGCCCTTTCCCCTTTTTCCCCCAATCCCACTTTCGACCTCCCAACTCCCGCTAAATTACCAACCTGTCCAGATCGCATTTGCAGGGCTCTCCGCCGCCGAAACTCCCGCCATGAACGCCACCACGACGTCGTTCCGCTCCATTCTCGAGAAGCCCCTCAACCAGCTCACAGAGGACGACATTTCTCAGCTCACCCGCGAAGACTGCCGCAAATACCTCAAAGAAAAAGGTCCCCCCCTCCCTCCCCTCCTTACACCTCACCCCCTTTTTCTACTAATTTTCGCTTTTGCCCTTCGCCTCTCTCTCTCTCTCTCTCTCTCTCTCTCTCTCTCTCTCCACCCCCAGGTTCTCCGATACGTCTACAATCACGGAACATTCCACTCTCTCCAACTATATTTATTTATTGAAATTGATGAATTACTTAACGAGGATTTTTTTTCCTTTTTTTTGGAAATTTAAAAATGTGATGGACACGTGTCCGTACAGGAATGCGGAGGCCTTCGTGGAACAAATCGCAGGCGATCCAGCAAGTTATTTCCCTCAAGGCTCTGCTGGAGCCCAACGACGATTCCGGCGCCGGAGCGCTCAGACGGATTGTCGTTTCGCCTCATACCACCACCCCGCGCGTCAGTGCTTTCTTATTATGTGTTTGGTTCCCGAGAAATTAAAAATGCAAAAGAAAGTTACTGTCTTTCTTTTCTTTCTCTTTGTTTCCCTCTTAACACTTGTTTGATTCGGAATTTTCTGTACAGGCGGCTTCGAATTCAGCCGGTTCGGCCAAGGAAGCGAGTGCCGATGTCCAGGTTTCCGTGTCAGCCGACGAACCGGTGCCGTATCAGAAACCGGTTCAGGAGGACCGGCCAGCCGATGCCGATACTAAGGCCATCAGTCCAAGGTTTAACTTCTCTATCAGGCTCTTTGGCTCTGGCAACGTCTGAATTTACTGATTGCTGTAGTTTGATTATGTTAAGCACAATGTGGTAGTTAAATATGCTAATTTAGCTTAGTTGAAGCTGTTATTGTTTTAGCCTCCTGGAAACTAGTAGACTTTGGTTTCATAATGTTGGCTTTGTCCTTCGAGATTCTATATTGAGTCT